AGCTGGACATTTTTAAACAGGTTGCTTCAGTAAAACCAATAAAAAATCAATGAAAGTGATCATCAGTAATTTATATAATCAAATGCAGATTGTAAAGGAGTAAATGAAGCCTTCAGTGAGTCAGATGAAACATATGTTCACATATAAGAGGGCTGTTGACATTAAATTGCAAAAAATGATGACATGACATGACATGATGAACCGATTCCAACAATTTAGGCACGGAAAAAAACATTTAATTTGACAAGTAACTAATTTATTGTTATGCAGCAGTTCTCCAAACTTATATAAAAGGCATTCACAAGAATTGATTTGAATAAAGTCACTTAAATTAACCTTCTTTATACAAATGTTTCCACTTAAACTGAATTTACTCAGTTTTCTTCCACTAAAGCAAATTATTAAATTACCTGTAGAAACAATTGACGTATGATGAAAACATGTATAATTAATTGATAGCAGCCAATCAATTTTTAGGCTTACATTGTGCACTGATATGAAGACAACTTAAAGAAAGTGAATCAGTTGAACAAACTGGAATTTATATCCCCAATACTTAAAACACTGCACAATTAAAATGCACTTAAAACAACTGAGTTATTACATCAACAATTCAACGGGCGGCTGGAGGATTAAATTATGTTAGGTTACTTATTTTAATAAGATGTGCTTTCAGGATTTACAGTGTAAATGTTACATTCAGAGACCTTATTTAACTCCAGAGCAATCAGACATCTGCACTTGTTGTTCTTGGTTTGACTCTGTCCTGTTGCACGGCTCAAACACAACAATGTCGACATGTGACGTTTCCTACACACACGAACTACAATGCTGCATGAGGAAAACCACATTTCCTCTGAAGTTGTTCCTTTTGTTTTTGTCTTTCTGGTTCAGTTGAGGTCAACAGCGTGTGAACTGAAACTGGTGTGTCAGTGCAGGACGGTCTGCGTCTGGAGTATCTCTTTACGTGTCCTTAATGTTGTAAACAGACACACACAATGTTATTTGGACACAGTAAGTGCTTTCACATACACTGCAGAGAAGGAATCTCATAAAAGTAAAAAAAACAACAACCATGTTTCTGGAAAATGAGTCTTAATTTTTGTCTAAAAAGAAAAATAATCTTGTGAAGCATGTTTTGCATTTGCCTTAAAAATATATTACAGCTAAGTTAAGTTATGATTGTATAATTTCCCAGCAGAGGAATCAGATTATTTTCTTTATTTTCAGAGTAAGAGCACTCGCACAAATTCTCAGTTTAAGAGAAAGTCGTCTGGTCTCAGTGTTGGAAATTAAGCAGCTGTTCAGTTTTTAACTATTTTAATAAATAAATATAAAAATATAAAGGTTTCTGGAGCCTTAATTTAATACAAAGTCACTTACTGTTCTTATGCTGCAAATTGTGTCTTTAATTTAGCTCAATAAAGTGACTAAAATACTTTTGTACTACTTGTTTTAAGATCTATTTACCACAGTGGCAGATTTTGTTGCTCAATACAAGAAAATCTAATTATATGTAAGAATATTTGGGTTCTTTCTAGAAGTTTTGTAGTGAAGATAAAATGTGTTGACATCTTATTTTGTAATTTCTACAAAAATTTGAAATAAAGTCTGTTGTTCATTTGAACAATGATTGGATGCTCAAACATGCATTTGTTGATCAATTGATTCTTTTCTTTATTTTTTATCACACTTTTATTTTTATCGTACATTTATTTTCTCTTATGTGGATACTTTTATACTTTTAAAGAGCATTCACATTGAAAGGCAAGTAAAGACTTAAATTGTGCAGGAAAGTTGACCTGCACTGGTGAAAGCATAGGATTGTTTTTAAATTGTTAGTATGAATAAATAGCCATTAGATATTAAAGGCTTAACAATTAAACAATTAAACTAGCAGGATCCACAAACTGAAGGTGCATTAAGAAATAACCATATCATGAATACAATCATCCTCTTTATCTCTGACCTTTCTGTCCCAGTGTCACACAGACCTTTAGTGGTGATATCTTCAATTTATTTGTTGTGCGAATGTACGGAAACATCGTCTCAGTGAAAGTGTGTGTGAAGGTGGGCGAGAACTCGGTCTCAAGGTGAACGTGATGGTTCGGTGAAAGGGAACTGTGTATGTGTGGGTATGATTACTGATCAAAATCAACGGAGAAAGACAAAGGCACTCTCCAGTATACCATGTCCAGTTTCACTCTGATCCTCGACCTTCTTCTGCACTCGGAAAAGTTCAATGTATTGGACACCGGGGTTAGGTGACCGTGCATAGTGTCTTCCTCTGGGTGGCCCAACTGTTCCGGCTTAACAATCCAGCAACTGTTAATGTACTCCCTTCCTCTGCCACGACTTTCGCTAACACACCCACCGGAACCGTCTGTACTGCTCATTCAACCTCGGACTCCAGCTGGTGGAGTCCCTGGTTTAAAGCCCTCAAGGAGCCCCGGCTCGGTTGAAACACACACATAGTAACAATCCAAACCTGCTCTGGATCTATCAGGGGAAAGCTGGCTAGTTTCCTCTCCTCGACTATCACAGAGTCAAGATCTTCAGACAGGGATGAGTTCGATTTCGCATTAAAACAGAGTTTTGGGAATCAGAATAACAGGGAGTGCAGGAGACCATGCATCCTTCATCTTGGTTCCAGATGTTGGACAGGCTGGGAGGTTGCCCAGGGAATGGTTTGCCTCGTCTATCAGAGCCTTCCTGAGGGCAGCTTGTGGATCCTCCAGGCAGGAGGTTTTGCTGCTGGACTCTTCCACTGCAGCCTGTAGTGTGTTCAGGAATTGAAGAGGGTTCAGCTCTCTCAGCTCCTCTGTTGTGCGCCTCTGACTGTGTTCTGAAAGAAGGACTAGTATTACTCAACTGAACTCAGAGCCACTCAATCTTCTCCTGTCATCATCTGACCTTACTTCTGCACCTTCTCTTACACCTCCCTCAGTATGCAACCAGTAACTGGACCCTCTATCTTCTCTTGTAGAAACAGCGTCAAAAGCTTTCTTAAACTGCTTCCTTCAATCCTGCCTCTCTGTGCATCGGGGCCTGAGACCTTCATGTGTTCTGCTCGGTTTTGGATTCAAACTTCACTTACATAAACTCCCTTCCATAACACCTTCTTAATTTCTCCTTTTAAGGCTCCAGGAGGTTTCCTCAAGGTGTCCTCTTCTTCGTGGCGAGCAGTTCATTGGGATGGGGGTTTTGAATCTGTGGTTGAGTGTCTTTTCTGATCTCTGACCAGATGACACAAAACTTGGCTGGCTGATTGATCCAAGACAGGAAGAGTTCAGTTTTCTCCGAGGGTGCCAGGACTGCAGAAAGAAACCTCTGAAAGAATCCTCTGGTCTTCTCATCCAAAAACAACGTACAGAGGACCCTCACCAATAGGTTCAATTTCAAACACCAGGGTTTTGAAAAAAAAAACAAAAACAACCAAAAAAAAAATAAAAAAACAAAAAAACATAAAAATAACTACAGGGTGAGGGAATCATGGTACTTTTTGAAAGATCTTAACCTTCCTATAACAAACTGGAACACTCTTTCTATGGATTTGTTTCTCTCCCCACCAGCCTTCTCTCAGACAGTTTTCTCTACAGAAGCTGGTGGCTGAATCAAGATGGACAGAAAGAACAGGATTACTCTAAAAACGACATCAATGACGACCGAGACAGCAGAGATACTCCTCTGATCTGGAATCCATTACGTCTCTGAGTGAAGCTGAAAACACAAACAGTGAAGTCAGTCAGTCTCTCCTCCCTCCTTCACCAAAGATTTCTTGCACTTGCACACAGTTTCTAGTCAAACTCACATTCAGTATGTGGAGCGTCAGCAGGTTGTAGTTTTCTCTCCTGTAGCTGAACTCAGAGGAAGAGAAGAGTTGAGGGTGAATCTGATCGTCTGTGTTTCAATCTGTGAGTCCCTCTTTAGTGAGGAAGAATAACAGACTGTTTCCTGGTTTGTCACTGGTGAGTCAGGGAGGTGGAGCTTCGTCAGACCGCCTCTGCTGAATGCTGTTGGCTCATTCAGTGGGAGAGTGTGTGTTTCAGTCCATAGTCCAGATTTAATGCTGGGTGTTGCATAACTACAGCACTAGAGCAACTATACTCTTAACAAAAGCAGCACAGAAAGAAAAGACAGATCAGCTCTTCTCTTAAGACTATATTGACATTTTAATTCACACTTAAAGCAATGGCAGAGTGGCTGCCCCTCCACTCTCTACTGACTTTAAACACACAAATTAGAATTATACATTTTCAATTAATAGCAAATAGGATATCTTATCTCTAATAATGTAGTGGCTAAGAGAGTCTGAAAAGTCACAAATGGGGGAGTCACACTTTAATTTAACAATATAATATATTTTTTACTGTATATCGGGGGCAACTGAACCACAAATCCTGACTTTTATTTGTGCAAATAAACCATCTGCATATTCTGTAGAAATACTGAGTGTGAATAATAGCAACTAATAATAACATCAGGTATTTTACTTTATTGTCCGCCAGAACATGCTGGCGGACAATAAAGAACTGGAAAAGTGAGAAAAATAAAATGACTGCGCTTATTTCCTTTGGCTTATATAGACACACAAATAAATATGCCGCAGCAGTGATCACATATTCTGGGATTAGATTGTAGTTTAAATCACATTTTGTGCTGCAGACATAATATGAGAAGCTTTTATCCCTTTTTAGTTTTTTATCATACTGATGGAAAGTGTGAAGATGAGCTGGTTTATTGTTCCAGAGGAAAGTTTTCAACTGTTGATCAAGATTGACAAAAAATATGTATTAATACAGACTGAAATGTGTTGAAAAAGATAAAAGAAATTTGGTAAAGTGGCCATTTTTCATCATGTTGACGTGCCCCGTGAGCGATAGAAGAAGGGAGCCCCCGCCTGGACATTTTGTATTTATCTACAGTGTGTGTGTATTTATGTGTTTATTAAACTTATTATCTTTGTCCATTGAAGAAAAATATAATACACAGCGCTGGTAATAACTTTTATTAAAGCCTCATTGCTACAGCAGATTCACCTGGATGGCTGACAATATCAATACAGTAAAAACTCTCTATCAAAGTAAACTACCTGCTGTGTCTGTTGTGAAGCTGCAACACATCATATTTTTAACTCTAATAACACATTTAAAATTATTAATAGAAGCAAAATCTGACTTAAATGTCAGTTTATTCATCGTTTCTCTAAACGTCTTCTCTTGGCCGGTGTGTCCGATGACTGTCCTCTCTTCCTTTTGATTGTCTTCTTCTTCTTACTGTTCTTCTGTACAGCTGACGGCTCGGCTTTCTTCATCTGCTGTCGTCCTGTTAGTGTTCAGTTTACACAAACAGAACAAAACTGAAATGTGCGGTTGAGCCAGAAAAAACACTTTATTTTGTTCATGTTAAACTTCTCAGTATTATAACGGTAATAACTTAATATAATTAATATAATCACTTCTTTAATTAATAACTGATAAAGCAGCTAACTGTATATAAAGTAGTTCAAACTGGATCCACCTGGAGCAGCAGAAAACATTGCTCTAACATTGATTAGTAACTCATTACTAGTAATGATATTACAGTAATAATATGACTTTCCCCAGTAACTAGTAGTGTAACTACATTTCAGTAATAATATTACAGTTACCTCCCAAAATATAATTAGATACTTTGATTTGAAATCCAACAACCTCAATCACATCCTTGGATTCATTTTTGTAATTGTGGAGGAAACTAGTTTGTGTTGTGGACGTCAATAAAAGAAAACATACCTTTCTTTGGGGTTCGTCTTTGGGTGGACGTTGGCTTTGTGGTTTGGGACAGAGCCATGTTCCTTTGTCTCGGTGCTTTCTGATTGGTCCTCAGCTCAACCTCCACAGGGTAGTGGTCACTGATACTGCGAGTCTTAGAAAGCAAATAAAGTCACATTTTGAATAAAGACTCTCCTTTAGAGAGGTTGTGCCAATCAACACAAACATGTCTTACTTCCTCGTCGGTCAGCTTGAACTCTCTCTGGAAGTTGAAGGACTTGGCTGAGCCGGGGACAATGGCATCCAGTACGGTCTGCCCGTACACGACGATCCTGTTGGCAAGAAGTTGGGTCGCAGTCTAAAAGGTGATTCTAAAAGACAGCAACCTGCAGTGAGACGTGTCGTACCTGTCATAGGTGTGGTCATTACAGTTACTGGACGTCGTGTCGACATCATCCTCTATCAGCCAATGGTAGGGAGCGGAGCAGATTCGAATCTTGTCCTTCTTCTTCTTGGAGAGATAACGTCCATCCGCATTGAAGTCCCCCAAAATCATAATATTCTGCCAAAGAAATAACAATAGTAACTCTGAAAATCTTGTTTTTACTGACCTCCAGTGGTTTAACTGTGAAACAGGATTTAAACTTTCAACCAGAGGGCAGCAAAACTCTGCTCTTTAGATAACATTTATTACAATGTTCTTAGATTTGTACTTGATGGTTTATATTCGACTGCTAAAAGAGACTTATACAGGGGCTCTTAATAAACAACTATAAATTCTTACATTTTTAAAACTTAAACTCACAATTTCCCCCTAATCTCATTGACTGTCGCACCCTTAACTTAAATGCTATTTTATTGGATATTTTAATATTATATTCAATGGGCATAACAATAACTGATAAACTGTAAATATTGAACACAATAACTGCAGGAGTTTTAAGTAAAACAAGAGATTTGGATGAATTTATTATTTCCTATGAATATTGATCAGAGATGGGTTTTTTGATATTTTGAGGAACTTTTTATACAATTCTCTGTTTTATGTTTTTATTTATTTTTAACAATCATACAGACTTAATAGGTTTCTTTTTTGACAAATTCTGTGTTTTCTTTACCCTGATGCTATCTAAACCACCAACCAGCACTTCTTCTCCCACTAAGTGCTGCTCATCTTTATGAATTATATTGATGCCGAACTGATAAGTAGACTGTCGACATACAATGCACTTAATGTTGTGTGAAAGAGCAGCTTTATTTGTTATGATCAACGGCTCCATACGGCAAGAAATTGCACTTCAAGGTGTATTGAATTAAATCTGTAATCTTGCTGATGTT